ATAGTAGTTCAAATTTTGTTTTTCCATATAGTTTCCAACACTTAAATTAAAACATGTCCATATTAAAGACAAAAAACGTTTATTGAGGACAATAAACACAATTTTGAAAGGTCAATGTAATTCTTTACAGGTATGATGTATTTAAATGCTTTTTATTTCTAATAAAACTATCTTACTATTATGTATATTAATTAATAAATACTATCCATATCATCTACAGAAATAGCATTGATACAGTAATCTTCCATTTGAGACATATTAATGCATTCATAATTTTTAAGTTACAATTCATAAAAAATTCTATCTCTAGATTGTTACTGATTTTGATTTGACGCTAACAAAACAACATGTTAATGGAAAAAAGGCTCTCAGTAGTTTTGGTATGTACATGTTATGTTTTTATTTAATCATATAGTTAGACTGAAAATGTATCTTCAAGATAAAACATCAACTATATTTTTTGAAGATGATATAAATATGAAAGAGTTAAAAGTAATGCATTAATATCATAATTTCGCACTTATGCTTCTAATTTTTAAAAAAATATAGGGATCTTTAGCAAGTGCAAGCAACTTCCACAAACATACACAATGGAATCAGGGCGTCTTTATAAAAAATATAGGCCCATTGAAATAGATCCTAATTTATCAATTGATGTAAAGGCAAAGGCAATGACAGATTGGATGATTGCAGCAGAAGAAATATTAAAAGGAATACCTTTTGATTCTAGTGAAATACCGGAAGTGATTAATATTTATGAAACAAATTTAAGAGATGGTACAAAAGAATTTTTCAAGAAGTTACAACAGTTTCAAGTTCCAGTGCTGGTTTTTAGTGCTGGTTTAGGAGATGTAGTTGAAGCTATCTTAAAAAATGAAGGAGTTCTATTTGATAATGTAAAGGTAGTATTCTAAATATGTAATTTTTCTTAGATATATATTTTTTCAACTTTTTAAACTTACAATACTAAAAGAAATAAAATATTAATAAAAATGGTTTTAATGTTTAGATAATCTCCAATTTTCTGAAATACAAAGATGGACAACTAACAGGCTTTCAAAATAAAAGATTAATTCATGTTTTCAATAAAAATGAACATGCTATAGAACAAGACTATTTTAAAGTTCTTGAACAAAGAAAAAATGTACTTTTAATGGGTGATTCCATAGGAGATGCATCCATGGTAGATGGCATGGAGGATACATCTGCAATATTAAAAATTGGTTTCCTTTATGACAATGTAAGTATTATATATTGTATCAAATATTTTGTACTTTTCATAGTTTTTATTGATGTTTATGATAAACAACTTAAAATTACCATTTGAACATATTGATAAATACATATTATTATTATTACTGCATGAAATAATTTACAATTTCAATTTTTTA